AGCTAGCTTGAAATGTATGTGGGTAGCGTTGAATGGCCACCTCCCGCATCCGTGTCTGCGGATTGGACCATTGTTCACAGACCGGCGGATCGGATTTCAGTCACAAGCGCTCTATTCGCTGTTGCAGTGCAGCTACCCTGTTACATGGTTTTTGAATTTCAGCACTTTCCTTTTACAATAAGGGGCTCTCTGGATTGAAGGATTTTCATAGAAATATTGGAGGATTTCAATTCATAGGATTTTTTCCTAAGGAAGACCTTTGGATCAAAGGAGCGACATCTCCAAAATTCCAATGGGCTGCATTCCCGCACCTCAATCCTATAGGAATTTCAACATCCACTCTAACCTTTTTTCGACACCGATTCATGTAGAATTGAGGCACTTTTTCTGTGGTTTTTTCTGGAGTTTTTCTGTGTTCCATCCAAGTGACCATTCTGTTTTGCACATGCAATTCTGTCAAATTCATGTGTTTTTTGAATTCCTTTATTTTCTAATGCTGTGATCCAAAGAAGCCATAAAGAGTACCCAGCATAGACGGAACAAAAGTCACGGTTAAGCGCGAGCACGAACCCAAAAGCCACATCTGGAGTGAGAAGACGACAAAAGATGGTTCGAGATATGATGAAAACGGGCATCGTCGTCCTTCCAAATTTAGGATAAGCCGTTGCAGAAGCTTCCCAACACTTCACTCTCCAAAAGAATTCTTGTCTTGTCCAGCACAGAGCAAAGCAAAGCAGACCCGCCTTTTGCAACGACGTGTTCTAGAAGGCCTATCTCAACGTCCCGGCTGAACAGAACAAACAGAAAAACGGCACCCATTGGTCGGTGCAAAACAGCTCCGGAATCCTCTCACCGGCGATCGACATCTCGTCTCGCGGCAGACAAAATCGAAAACATTGTTCATTGCAACGATCTTTCTGGGCTCGTTTAACCATCATTTTCTTACACGGGTGCAATGCAAGCTCGAGTCATGGCGCGAAAAGGCGCAGCCCTCGCAGACGCGCATTGATGCGTTATATGCACACATATACTACCTCTATGTACACTATTCATGGTTCTGTACACACGCTTAGGTGATCAGATCAGATCTCTAGGAAGCAGGCGGCCTGCACGTGCCCGGAGAACTCCGGCGGCGCCGGGGCGCGCGCCCAGGACGCGGCCTTGCCGTTGCCGGCCTCGTCGCGCAGCATGTACACGGTCTGGTCGCCTCCGTGGCAGCCTGAGCCGATCACCACGACGCGGCCGCCGGGGATGGCGGAGACGGTCGACGCCGTGCGGGCGTCCCCCGGCACGGACGCCACCGTGCGCCACCCCGCCGAGGCGCCGCCGTCGCGCGCCACGAGGTTCCCTTCGCGGAGCATGTACATGCACTCGGCTCCGGGCGCCACGCAGCAGGTTCTCGGGCACGCGCCGTCCTCGAGCAGGCCCTCCTGGACGGTGTCCCAGGCCGCCGTCGCCGGGTCGAAGGCCTCGGCGGAGCCGGCGAAGCGGCCCTGCGCCTGCGTCGGGTACCCGCCGACGACCAGGAACCTGCCGCCGACGCAGAGCCCGCGCGGCTCGTCGCGCTCCTCCGCCATGTCCGGGAGCGCGGCCCACGCGTCGGCGTCCGGGTCGTACGCGAGCGCCGACCGGAGCGCGTTCTTCTCCTCGTCGTGCCCGCCGGCGACGTACACGGCCCCGCCGACGGCCGCGGTGGCGAAGAAGGACCGGCGCGGGCCCGGCATGGGCGCCCCGCGGCGCCACGCGCCGGTCAGGAAGTCGTACACGTACACCGAGTCCGTCGGCGCCCACGACTCCGGGTCCCACCCGCCGACGACCACCAGCCGCTTCCTCCCCTGCGGGCCGTCCACCGCGGCGACCTGGCAGAACAGGGGCAGGCTCCCGGTCGGGCCGGGCAGCACCGGGAGCGGAGCCCACCGCCCCGCCACCGGGTCCAGCAGCACCATCCTGTAGTTGTTCGCGGGTCCGCCGTTGGCCGCCGACGCCGACGCGTGCTTCTGCGCCGGGCCAGGCTCGACGCGCTCGGGCTGCGCCTGGACCATGGCGAGCACCGGGCGCGCCAGCCCCTCGGCGCGGCGCAGGCGGCCGTAGTCCGGCGACTCGACCTCCTCCTTCCACTGCCGCGAGATGCGGCGCACGGCGGGCAGCTGGTCGAAGCCCACCCTGATGAGGCACTCCCTCGCCACCTCCTCCGGCAACCCCGGAATCAGGTCGCCCATCGCTGACGCCGCAAATGAACCGAGCAAGAAACGAGTGAGAGGAGAGCTTGCTTGATTTGTTCTGCGTGCTGATGTTCTTTCTTGTGTGCGGCGAGTGGCGGGAGTGGCGCGCCGTATTTATACGGGGTGTTGGGGGCGGAGCAGAGGAAACAGAGGAATCGATGGGTTTCTGAATTAAGTGGGGGTGTGCGTGTGGGCCCGGGGCGGTTTGGAGCTTATCGTGGCGTGCTTGCGCGGGGGCGGATTCTTCCAGATCTTTTAGCGGCGTCGCGGTCCGCGAGAGGGACGACAGTGTCGTGGTGCAGTAGGCGATCTGTATGTGGTATGGCGGCGGTGCAAGGGAAGGGATAAGATGGATTTTCTCAAGGTTTATCACTTGCTATCCGAACTGTACCATACGCCTAGCGGAAGCTCTTTTTTTTGGTAAGGTTGCAATCTCGTATCTGGGCCAGATTTGCGTCTTCCCAAGCAAAGTACCACAGGAGAAGTGGAGATGATAGGAAGCGTGCGGTGTGCGCATGGATATGCCCAGACTGACACTGGAGTGCTGATTTTTAGGAGTGGTGTGAAGCAAATTCCAAATCCAATTGGCGTCTCCTTCGAAAAAGAGAAGGGAAGCCGCTGCCGAGCCCGTCTACGGATGGATCTCAAAAGCCGTGGTGGCGCCGGGAAACCAATGCGCAAGGCCCACGTTGGCCTAAAAAAAATCCGTGCGCTGGTGCATGATTACCATGTCGGCTTCGTCCTGCTCCGAACGGATAGATTATTCGTCCGAGTCAGCCGCAGCTCACGGTTCTTCTTCTTCTATTCGGCAGCAGCAGTTTCCGCCGGAGCCCACCGCAGCTGATTGAGTACTCCACGGCATCGGCCCACGTGTGCGGTCCGGATGAGATAGACATGGAGTTTAATTTAATTAAAACGCTCACACTTGAGGTGACGCGTGGCCTTGGTGTCAAGGAAATAGTACTCCAGCGATTTGGCTCTCTCTTTTTTTTTTTTTGACCTCGCCGGCATGTGTCGGAAGCTGCACAGTTCACAGGTCGGAGCGCCGCGCCGTACGTCCGTCGTCGTCACGAGAGCTGCAGGCCCGCGCCACACGTCCGAAGCCGCATGGTTTTCCATAAGGGTTCCACTACTATCAGAGAGAGATGAGAACATCTCTAGCTAAAGCTGAACTGAAAAAAGAAAAGCCGCATGCTTTTCGGCCGAAATTCCCTGTTTTTCGCTAAAAAAATTAGTAGTAATCTTGTGTCGTGCTTGTAAATTTTGAACTACGTACATACCAATGGCGTTTTCTCTTCCTCAACTTCGCCGCTTCCTGAGGAGAATCCCCCGTTCGAAACGCTGACAGAGGGTAGTACAGTACTAGAACAAAGAACGAAGGAAACTCAGTTGCTAACAAATAATGTCCCGTACGCTTGCACTTGCTTCGGTTGGGAATACCTTTCACCTTTACCATGAGGAACACTCCGTAAAAACGAGCCACAAGTGGAGTGGACGCATCACATCGTAAATCCGGAGCCAATTATGGAGAAAACAACGGGTAGCGCACAGGGGGACGGAACGGCCCGGCCTGTCGGCCTCGGTATAACGCAGTGAACGGCCCGCTCTGCCCGTTGCGATCCGTAATCCTATCTCCTCCCCGGGGGGCCCCACGCCACATGCTGAGCGCCTGAGCCCCTCCTCCCGCGTCGCCATCAGCCGTGCCATCGTCGCATCCCCGGTTCCCCCGCCCCGCCGCGGCGCCGCCGCATCGCCGGCCTTATCCGGTTATCCCCGGAGAACGGCCCCGCGTCTCCTTTACGCTTGCCTCTGAACTGATAGGGCTGGTCATCGTCCGCCCGGTGACGCGAGGGGGCGGAAGCCGGAAGGCACAAATCCGTCGAGAGCGCCGACGCGACTGTGTGCGTCGCTGTCAGTCCCGGTGCCCGTTGGCAGCGGCAAGTCGGTCATGCTTTACGCGCGCATCATGCGATGCCTCGTCGGCTCGCCGTCCGTCGCCTTATCAGGACTGCTGGATGCCTGGATTGGGGTGTGGTCATGCTGAAATGGAAGGTCCTATTGTTTTGTCTCTAGCAAAACACTGCATCCATCACCGGGCTTATCGCCCGCAGGGCACACGGCGCCGCTGCCTGCTTGTACGTAGGGAACATCTGCCCTGGCCCACGGAAAGTAGCCAGCCACCAAGAAAATACATGAAGTTGACGACCATCTGGGTTACATAAATATACCAACATAAATATGGAAAGGCGCCCGTCGAAATGATGGTGGGTACACACTGTTTACCAGAACAGATAGCGAGTTAATTAAGGGCTGAAAACGAAATGACGGGTAACTTCCCGTCGCCAGGCAGCTCGTCAGTCTCCCCATACGTCAGTTGTACCAGATATTCCCGTCGCCAGGCAGCTCGTCAGTCTCCCCATACGTCAGTTGTACCAGATACATGTACACGTTTGTTAGAATCTGCTGGCCGGACAATGTTTTTTCAGTCCCAGTGTTCTTCCGGTGGGATTCAGTGTTTTCTCAGGCACGTCATAGGGTATGACGTACTACCCAGTGGCACTGCAGAAGTAAAACCCTGAACCTGAATCTATGTGCTTCAGCTCCATCAAATAAACCGCTGCATCAAATGCTGATAATCAAACTCTGTTTTTCAGACAATGCACTCCAGGCAAATTTATTGGCTCAATGGATAGCCGTATGTATGTTTGTAATTTCCTATTACATCATTGGAAGGATAAAGGGTGTTGTGGTCACAGCATTCTGGGCTGCTACAGAAGATCACACATTCAACTCAGCATCGGCAGCTAATGGTTCGAAAACTGATTCGACCTCATCCATGTTTACGTCTTCCAGAGTTGCTGGACTCCATTTTGGATTCTGCAAGTGACGAGACGATTCAACGGAATGATTAGGGGTATAATACTGATCCCTTAGGTTAAATGAACCACTATCACATTAGATTTTAGATAACCCTCCCCAGCATGAATAGGTAAATGACGTCACACCATGAGTAAAATGCACAAAATGTATGCATTTAATGTGTGCCGCTGTGCCTTATACTCCCTTCAGGTTAAATGAACCACTATCACATTAGATTTTAGATAACCTTCCCCGGCATGAGTATGTAAATGACGTCACACCATGAGTAAAATGCACAAAACGTATGCATTTAATGTGTGCTGCTATGCCTTATACTCCCTCCCTCCAGAATTACTTATTGCTCAAATGGGTATATCTACTATTAAAAATACGTCTAGATACATCCATTTGGGCGACAATTAATTTTGGATGGAGGTAGTATTTTGGTTGCTAGCTTGAACATGAGCTCTCTACCTAATCTTGCAAGATAAACAGACAACAGTCCAAAGTGCATTATAGTTTAATGTAAAATAGACTTTTGCCCAATTTTGCAAGACATAGATGACACCAGGATCTAATATTTTATTATTTCTGATTTAATGTTTCAAAAAGTTCAGACTATCTCAAAGCTTAAATAGTAGAACAAGATTAGGTACTCTCTCTGTCCGAAAAAGCTTGTCCCTCAAATGGATGTATCTAGCACTAACTTGGTGCTAGATACATCCAATTGAGGGACAAGCTTGGGACAAGCTTTTTCGGACGGAGGGAGTACAAGTTATCCTACATTATCTGATTCAAGACAAATTTCAATCTATATGTGGAGAGAGCAGCCATTGCAGTTCCTACTTTAAAATATTGCCATTGCACAACAGACCAGGGGTCTACGGCTATCTGTATGCCGAAAAAAGGGAAAAGGACAGACCCAGTGCTAGAAACTCCCACCAGGTGGGGTCTGGGCAAGGATTGCATGAGGCAAGCCTTACCCCTGCACAGTGCAATGCAGAGAGGCTGAGTCGAAACCAAGACCTCTTGGCACAAGTGGGCAGAAGGCTGCTTCGAAACCAAGACCTCTTGGCACAAGTGGACAGTACTTCACCACTGCCCAGGCCTGTCCTTCTCTATCTGTGCCCAATGATTATAAAAATGCAGTCACGATTCAGGTGATTTATATAGTTAAGTCAAATCAGTGAACTGGGTCATATTTGGAGAGGAACAAGCTATGGGCAGAACGCATTTTTAGGCCCTATAATAAGCATAGGCCATATTTCCAAGGGAGGCTTAAGCCACGCTTTGGCAAGCCTTTTTCTCCCTGCCAAAAGCCATAAGTAGTCAGAACAGACTTACTCACATAGGTTATGACACAAGGCCACCTTGGCTCAGTCTTTGCTTCGGTGGGCTTTTGCAGAAGGGAGGTTGATAAAGGCATATAAAACCACTGGATGTTCATGGTATGAACCCATCTTTGCTAATGGTATAAAAACCATGTATGGGCATGGGCCAGCATGGCCCTATGGTTTTTTGCGGTTAGCCAAAAACAGGCTTATGCATAAGCAACAGCTGAGCCAAAATCAGGGGAAGTAGCTCCTGGCCTTACAAGCTGAACAAGTCTTAGCTGGCTAATTTGTCTTGTTTGTGGAAACTGGCATGCGGAGTAAAGCATACTTGAGTGCTCATAATGCCAGTACAACCCATCAGGTAGGTTTAAGCTTATGTCAAGTTTGAACTTAGGATTTGTAGAACTTATGGTCTAAAAGTTGATAGTGGAAAGGAAAACGTTCTAACTGGTTGGACCCCCTATAGGCTTACAGCATAGATCATAGGTGGAGGCCCATGAAACACATGTAGCACACACAACAACATGTGTCTCTGCCTCTAGTGAAAATAAAAACCCTTTTGGACAGAACAATTTAAAATTTTGAGATTGAAAAATAAAACCATATGACTTGCCTGGTCCTTGTCAACTAAGACAGCGCGTACGCCTTCAGCAAAATCACTTCGAACCGATGATCTTAAGGCAATGCGGTACTCCAATTTCATAACACCAGCCAACTGAATGTGCCAAGCAACAGAATAATAAGAAAAACTTAAGGAAATAGAAATGTTCAATGGTACAGGATACAGGAGACTACCTTAGATAGATAATTTTCATTGTTCCCATATGACGATGCAACTCGAGAGAAATGTTTCTGTGTTAAACAAAGAGAAAACGGAGCACCTTTCTTAAGTCCTGCTAAAGCATCATTGGCCCATTCTGACACTGCAGCCAACAAAATAAAGAACAATTTACCCATATGCATTCATTCTTCTCTAGTCAGTACTGCAGTAGACTTGGTTCTTATATAGAACAGGCCATTCAAATAAAAGTAGTTAGCACTGTTTTCACTATATCAGAAAGGGGACGGTTAACAGAAGATTACCTGTGGCATCACCACTTTGACTACGCTTCTTTAGCTCTTCCACAGATTCAGTAGCTGATTTATCAGGACCAAAAGAAGAAACGATATCCGGTAAAAGCTTTTCTAATTGGGGCACCGACTCAAGTTCCTTCTTGTACCCAGTCAGGAGTGACTCAACATCTTTGTGAGGATCAGCAGTGCTGCAACAAGACAAAGAGAACCACATATGTCAAGATACTACTAAAATAGTATAGAAATATTGCAAGCACTTGCTATGTCATAAATCTAAGATATTATTCCCTCCATTCACAAATATAAGATGTTCTAACTTTTTTTATAAATCGGATGTATATAGACACACTTTAGTGTGTTTGTTTACTCATTTCAGTCTGTACGTAGTTCATATTGAAATATCCAAAACATCATATATTTGTGAACGGAGGGAGTAATACATAGTAGAGAACTATAAAATATAGATAGTTACTATAGTTGCATATTAATGTGTTCAGTATGTTTTGGCCAAGTAAGTTAGATACATACAAGTTAGCACTCAGGAGGGATTCCTTGAGTGAACCCAAGTCCCCGGAAGGTACATAATGGGTTCCGAGACCTATGAACAGAGCATCAGCAGGTGAAGATATTCTTTTTCCTGTCATCCCAAGGTAAGCTCCTGAAAGAAGATTTATTATTTATTTTTGCGAAGAGAAAGGAGCAGATGTTAGTGAAAAGGATAAAGTAAATAAGGACGCTATATGATTTATACACACTTTATCCATCTGGGAACAGAGAAAGCCACAGCAATCTCACAGTATTAGTGCAAAGAACAACTCAGGATAGCATAAGTAAAGATCTGGCATACAGCCCATTCACCATAACTGAACAATAGTTGCATAAGTAGCATGAAAGATTCAGAGTTCAGAACTGTTCAGCACGTTCCAGAATACAGAAAAAAGAGAACTTGTATTAAATATTCAAATGATTATGCTCCACCAAAAATGATCATCCAGACACCCACACAACAGAAATTGAGATAAAAGGGATAGCAAAAATAAGATAACAGAGAAACACAACAAGGTGTGGACATCAAGACACATAGGAGTGTATGATGTAGGGAGGGAGGGTATGGTTCTGACTACTGTACAACTAGCTAGCGATGCAATACATGCCATCAAGTTGGAAACATGATGGTTATACGGTCATAGAGAAATTACTAGCAGAAGATACCACCTACAAATTGATAAACTAGAGGGAGGAAGGGAGGATACAGAAGCATACCGACTGCACCCCCTCCTGGCGCTTTTGCACCGATGTAAGCAAAGCCAACATCTGGGAACAAGCCAATACCATTTTCCGGCATGGCCAGGAGTGTTCTCTGTAATAGTAGCACATTGAAAAGCATGATCACAGTCTTTATAATGCAGAAGTTGAAAGTAGACCTCATTAATAAAGAGAAAATTGAGTTGCAAACAATTGCCTCCGTAATAATGCGGTAGCGGCCATGTCCAGACAATCCAATTCCAAACCCCATGGTTACACCATCCATCAAGCATATATAAGGTTTTGCATACTCATGTATCTTGCAAATCAAAGAGTACTCAGCTGTGAAGACCTGAGAAGGAACACTGTATCTCTTAGTGATGCAAATGATAAAAATATACATTCAGCTATTTTCATTTACCAATGCAACGCAGAAGAGACACACCAAGGAGCACAGGCTAAGGTTAGTACATGCAGAATTATGTGTATTGACTATTAAACATTACTTTATACAGGGAGACACAACAAGGAGCAGCTAGGCATACAAAATCTTAGCAGTTAGCACTGCACAATATTTCCATTTAGCAAATACCAATGCTACAAAAAGTAAACACAGCAAGGAGCACAAGGTACTAGTAAGACAAGCAGATTTGTGTCTATTAAACATTAGTTATTCAACAATAACATATAGAGGGTGCTTCTCAGCAGTGTACCAGTTACAAAATCAGCTAAGAATTACAAAGTCTTAGTACTATGAATAAATAGATGTATTGTACGATTCTAGAGAACTGATCCTGGTTATATTGGTATTGTAATGTTAGACGGAGAGTGGGTGAAAGAAGCAGGTAGTGTTACAAGAATAGATAGTGAGTAGTGACTTGTGGGTGATATATAAACCCTCTTTAAAAATGTACATTCCATAACTTCGGAGATAACAAAAAGCATAAATATCAGTACAGGAAAACTATAGCTCGTTATATTCTTTCATTTTCCATGTGATTGGAATCAATCAATAGAATGCTTGTAACTCAGATTTGTCTTTTTCCTTTTCATGCTATGAAAATCAACCAATGGAATGGCAATATCTCATTTTTTACTGTTGACGTGATATACCACATCGGTTTCTAGTCTTTTGTATCCCAGAAATGGGGTAACCATTAGAGTTGATATTTTGTTTGGAATTGTCCTCATGGACACTATATATCAATCCTTCCAACTCAACAGGGCATTGAATTCATATGTTCCGTTATATGGCAGCATTAGTGGTTCACAGTCAATAATTAAGTAAATGTTATGTTTAGATGCATCAATGAGTGAAATATTGAATTATAATTCAGAGTGTTGCAGAATCATTTGAATTATTACATTAGTTCGAAGTTGGCTGCGAAATTCAGGTTTTTCAATTGTTCCTTCAGATTGGAGTACAATTTCAACTATGTATTTTATAACAATGCAACTCATTTCTCGGACACAAACAAGGTCTTATTGCTAGACCTCTATTATCTCTGGCATAGTGCAATCAATAGCAAGTCTCTTCACATCCCCACCTGCAGATTACACTAAGCAGCAGTCACTATCTGTGCAAATTTGAGAAATGCTATAACAACAACATACTGATGCCGCATACATTTTTGAACAAAAAATAATGATAAAAGAACCATCAGTTCTAAAAGTGAAAGACCTTTTGCACAAGTGATGTGCTCTTGTCCTTTTGAATTTCCGCTGCAACACCCTTAATATCCATCCCTGCATTGGCCATGAATCGTATTTGAAAACATATCCAATGCTCCGGAGACAAAAAGGCAATACAGCATGTTCAATGTCCAAGGCATATCTTATTCACCACGTAGAAAGGGGGGACAAAATGGAGGGAAAAAATACCAGCTGAGAATGCGCGGGGAGAACTGCTTTCCACAAGAATGCACTTCACATTTGGATTTGTTTCCCATTCATCAAGAAATGCCTTGTACCTAAGGTCCATTTCTGCACACATTTGAGGTAACAACTATGTGAGTGGAGCTCAATAAGGTATCAAACAAACATTCTATGGGGGAGGGGGGAGATGTAAATGGGGTAGGCCCATTACATGCCGCACAAGGCAGTTAGTTCGTGTAAAAGATAACATTTACTTAATGACAAAACACCTCTAGGAAGCCATTTATATTGTAACAGGGGAGTAGTAAATTGCCCATCGCAGCAGTTCAATAGACACGTGTTGCACCAAACCATCCCAATTTGGACATCAGGTTCACACGGCAGGAACCATATTTTTCGTAGGACTTCAAGAGATGTTGTAAGATTAGAATCCCTCTAATCAATATTATCAATCATATGCCCCTGGTGTTCATGTTTCCTGGTTCCATCGCTTGGCAAATAGAGGACACCTCCCGCTTGAACCAAGCATGTACGCCCGCCATCAACGGCGACACAGTCACTGTGCAGCAAGAAACGAGGCACATGTGTGACCTCTTTGTGTGGGCCTACGACGTGGCATGCCAGCTTCGAGTGGCCAGCCAGATCAATGGGCTCACATGATTGCCCAAAATATACACACGCTGCCATACTGTCACGTGTCATGTGAAATGAATGGCAACATCTGGCGTTGTCAGTGTAGGCGGAGTATTTAGCAGCGAATTAATTTCAGTTGATGTCTAGTCACTCGCTATACTTCGGATGTACAGGCCGAACTGAAATCCCGCGCAGTACACTAGGTAAGCACTACTTTAAAAAAAACTACACTGAACGCAGCGCGACGCGAATTTCACTTAATCATCCGCAACCTAGCAAAATAGGGAGGATCGGGCGAGTAAATCAAGGTATTCCTGCCCAAATCACGCCGCAAGGCACGCCGGCGCAACCGGTCAGGAGAAAGAGGAGGAGGGCGATCCGCACCGAGGTTCATGGCGTTGAGGGCCTTGGGGCGGTCGAGGGTGATGACGGCGACGCCGTTGGGGAAGACGCGGCCCTTCACGAACTCCTCCGCGGCGGCGGCGGCCATGGCGACGAAGCGGCGGCCGAGGCGGAGGGGGGCGAGGCTAGGGCTCGGGGCTAGGGTTTGGGAGGAGGAGAAGAAGGCAGCGGTGGAGATCGGGATGCGAGAGAGCAGAGCTCGCATAGCGACGTGACTGAAGGTGAAGTGCTGGGCGACAGGTGGACACGACGATAAGTGGTTTGCTCAAAATGCCGTGACGGCGATGGAGATGAAGGGGTGAACTGGCACATTTTCTTTTTTAGAATCCAGTACAATGTGAGCATCTCTGTTCGGCCGCAGCGGATTTCGGCCCTCGACACGTAAAACCACACGAAGCAATTGACCACGATTTTGATAAATAAAATTTGAAAATTCCAAAAATTCAAATACAGTTTTGACGAACATAGTTTTCGTGCCACAACCCAAAAAACATTGCATTCGTCATCACTCATCCATCATCATTACAAGATGAAAATCTTCACTGACACCATTTCCACCACCACTTGCCGAACCACCATGCCCACCGAACCTTGGCACCACATAGCCTTTTCCGTAGATGGAGATCTAGTGACTTGTCTTCAGCAAACTGGCCCCCAACCATCTGCCGTTGAAACCACATCCAAGGGACAGCAGTGAAGGGAAGCAAAAAAAGACTCACACTTATGTCCAGGCACCCATCCAGCACGGATTTGTGACGGGGAAAACAAGGACAAGGGCGGCTTTGGTGCGAAGAGACGGCTCGGAGCAGCCGAGCGCCGTCGCCTCGGAGGATAGGCAGCGCCGCGCGGCTGTGAGGGCCGGGGAGGTGTGCCCCGACAGGCCGGGAAGCTGCTGCTGCAAGCGCCGTGCGGGCCGGGGAGGAGGTCCGCCGCAGATCGAGGAGGAGCGCCGCCCGCGCGGGCCAGGGAGGAGCGCCGCCGTAGATCAGCTGCGCCGGCCGACCTCCTTGCTCACGTCGCTCGGACCCGCCCGCCCCTCCCCGGCGTCGGCCCTCTAGCTACCAGGTGAGTGAGGCGACCCTACCCCAATCCCATCTCCTCCCACCGGCAATCCCCCGACGATGTGGTTCTTCTGGAGCACCACCGGTGGTGTAGATAGTGGATTTGAGTGGATTCCCTTAAATTGAACTGTACTAAGAATTTTTCCATTGAAATTCAGTACTGTGCTTGTTGTCTCTTAATAGAAGATCTGAAGAAAACTATACAGTGAAAGCATGGAAATATTGTTTGATGCTTCTCTGCAATGACAAGTAGTTTTTGAATTATACTGATGGAAATTGACATGTACCGTGTATTGTTTTGAATTTCAATGACAAGTACCATGAAAGCATGGAAATTGACATTGGCAAGTAACAAATCTAAAGTATGTATTGATGGAAATTTACAAGTAGCAATGTGAAGTAGCTTTTAAATTTCACTGATGGAAATTTACAAGTAGCAATGTGAAGTAGTTTTTAAATTTCACTGATGGAATTTGACATGTACTGTGCACAACAACCAAATCATGTATATGTACTGTGAATAACAGCCTTTTTTTGCATATGAGCTTGTCTTGTTGCATTGTTTAGTCACCGGACCGGTCCGCCATTAATTGTACGTGTCTTTTTGGTTTTTGGCAGAATTTGGCTCGATAAGTTTCTCAAGGGGAAGCACAAATCAACTAAAGCTACCGCACCAACAAAAAAAAGGAGCAAAGGTATGTTGCAATGGGTACATCATATGTTTTATTGTTCATTTGTAAACTAATTACTATACTTTTCATTGGCAGCAACAAAAGAAAAAGAAAGGGGAAGCTCCAAATAAAAAGAATGGTGTGCAGCCTCAAGTACAAGTGAAGAGGTATGAAAACAACAAAGGAACAGATTTGGAGCTTCAAGAATGGAATGACATCATCAGTTTCACCCAGCAGGTCTTGTCGGCTACACCTTGTGATGATGCTGGTATGTTCTAGCATGCAAGTTCGTTAGATCGTATTTTGGACATGGTTAACTATAGTATTTTGGGGCTAACCATAGTATTTTGTGGCTTAATTGTACAAGTCAAATGGCCAATTTCTACCCTTGGATCATTGTTTCAGTAGTACCACTTGGTTCCGAAATTGTACAAGAACTTATGAATTTCAATGACAAGTGGCTTGTTGTCTGTTAAGACATCTGAAGAAAGGTGTGTTGTATGGAAGGATGGCAATATTGCTTACTATTGCTCTTCAATTTTCTGCAAAAAAATGTAGCTTATCTATGCTAATTTCTGAACAGTAGTCACATATTGTTTATTTCTGCTAAGCTTTGTTAATTTCTGTACTATGTGGGAGTAGTACACTAGGTGAAAAAAAACTGTAGATTATCTTTGCTAATTTCTGTAGTGTAGATTATCTCTGCTTATTTCTGTACTAGCACAAGAGAGTAACATATTCTCTCTTCTAAGTAGATTCATTCTCTGCAAAAAAAAACTGTAGTTTATTTCTACAAAAATGGTAGCTTATCTCTACTAACTTTTTGATTCATTCTTTGCAAAAAAAGAACTGTAGCTTATCTCTGCAAAAAAACATGTTCTCTTATCTCTACCATATTCTTTTATTCAGTACATATATAAGTTGTTAGTACTATTACATTTGTATTGTTAGCTGACTGAAAACTGTTGATTGTACTATCTAGTGACTGAACGGCCAAGGCTGAAGCATTTTCTTTGTTAAGCTATGTTGGATGGATGCCCAGGTGTAGTGTGGATGCCTTTTTTGCTTTGGGTCACTGTTGTCCGTTAGATGTTGTTTGGAGGGCTGATAAGAGGGAGTCAGTTACAACGTGACTTGCTAGAGGCAAGTCACTGGATCTCAGTCCCTTTTCAGGGTAGCCTTCTCCTCTCCAAGACCTTCAACCTTGCTATGTCATACCATTCTTTGGTGAACCCATCCATGTCATTTCGATTCATCATCATTATCTTGTTCTCCTCTTGAAGGAGCTTGGCCATGGATTTGTTCTCCTCGACCATGGCTCTTCTCCTCAATGACGGCCTTGTGCATGGTCTTTTACTTGAGTAGTTGCCACTTCTCTTGCTTTTCTTGAGCCTTCTTCTCGGCCAACTCCTTCTTTACCTCCAATGTCTTGATCACCAATGCCTCATTGGACTTTAACCATGTGATCTAGCTTGTCCCGCAAGCTTGATGCTTCCACTTCCCTCTTGATCTTCTCCTTGGTCTTCTTGTTTTCATCGGGATTGTTCTTATTTCTTGGGTCATTATCATCATCATCATCATCCATCCTGGTGAGTGCACCTCTCTTCGGTGGAGATTCTTTCTCAATCAACTTCCACTTCTCGCTATCGAAGAAATTTCTAACAATGCTCTAGTTGAAATGACTTGCCACCGAAAGCTTCCATGTCCTTTGAAGGTAATATGCCCTAGAGGCAATAATGAAGTTGTTATTTATATTTCCTTATATCATGGTAAATGTTTATCATTCATGTTAGAATTGTATTAACCGAAAACTTAGTACATGTGTGAATACATAGACAAACAGAGTGTCCCTAGTATGCCTCTACTTGACTAGCTCGTTAATCAAAGATGGTTAAAGTTTCCTGACCATAGACATGTGTTATCATTTGATAAACGGGATCACATCATTACATAATGATGTGATGGACAAGACCCATCCGTTAGCTTAGCATTATGATCGTCTAGTTTCATTGCTATTGCTTTCTTCATGACTTATACATATTCCTCTGACTATGAGATTATGCAACTTCGAAATATCTGAGGACACCTTGTGTGCTATCAAACATCACAACGTAACTGGGTGATTGTAAAGATGCTCTACAGGTGTATCCGAAGGTGTTTATTGAGTTGGCATAGATCGAGATTAGGATTTGTCACTCCGTGTATCGGAGAGGTAACTCTGGGCCCTCTCAGTAATGCACATCACTATAGGCCTTACAAGCAATGTTACTAATGAGTTAGTTGCGGGATGATGCATTACGGAACGAGTAAAGAGACTTGTCGGTAACGAGATTGAACTAGGTATGATGATACCGACGATCGAATCTCGGGCAAGTAACATATCGATGACAAAGTGAATGACGTATGTTGTTATGCGGTTTGACCGATTAAGATCTTTGTAGAATATGTATGATCCAATATGAGCATCTAGGTTCCGCTGTTGGTTATTGACCGGAGATGCGTCTCGGTCATGTCTACATAGTTCTCGAACCCGTAGGGTCCGCACGCTTAACGTTCGATGACGATTTATATTATGAGTTATGTGTTTTTGATGACCGAAGTTTGTTCGGAGTCTCGGATGAGATCACGGACATGATGAGGAGTCTCGAAATGGTCGAGAGGTAAAGATTGATATATTGGAAGGTTATATACGGACACCGGAATGGTTCTGAAGAAGATCGGGGATTTTTCGAAGTACCAGGAGGTTACCGGAACCCCCCGGGAAAGTTATCGGGCCTAATGGGCCATAGTGGAGGAGAGGAGGCATGCCATAGGAGGTGGGGCGCGCCCCCTTGCCCCAATCCGAATTGGACAAGGGGAGGGGGCGCGGCCCCCCTCTTTCCTTCTCCCTCTCCCTCCTTTCCCCTTTCCCCTCTCCGTTGGAAGGAAAGGGGGGCCGAATCCTACTAGGTTTGGAGTCCTAGTAGGACTCCCCCCTTGGTGCGCCTCCCCCTTGGCTGGCCTCCTCCTCCCCCCTCCTTTATATACGTGGGCAGAGGGCATCCTAAAGGTACAACTGAAAGTATCGAGAAGAGGTGTCTAGAGGGGGGTGATTAGACACTAAGTGCCAAAAGTTGCAGTTTTTAATTTCTTTAAGTTGAAGTGGAGTTTTGGCACAAGTTTAGAAACACAATACATATCAAGCAAGCATGCAAAGAGTATATGAGCAGCGGAAAGTAAAGCATGCAACTTGCAAGAATGTAAAAGGATGGGATTGGAGTGTGCAAACGCAATTTGGAGACACGGAGATTTTTGAGACGTGGTTCCGATAGGTGGTGCTATCGTACATCCACGTTGATGGAGACTTCAACCCACGGAGGGTAATGGCTGCGCGAGTCCACGGAGGGCTCCACCCACGAAGGGTCCACGAAGAAGCAACCTTGTCTATCCCACCATGGCCATCACCCACGAAGGACTTGCCTCACTAGCGGTAG